CCTATAATTTAATCACTTGAATGTAATATTTAGATGGAGAGGTGAAGGAATTTCCAGTTATTCCTATCCAAGATGATGACATTATCGATACCAATGGTGCTGGAGATGCTTTCGTTGGAGGTATTTCTTACTTTTTCTGTTATTATTTAGCCTCCAATAATGTATTTCCTTTGTTTAAGGCTGTTACATTGTGTAAATATAAAATAATCTTGTACTGTACAATAGCTGTAACAATAACTGACTTTCCATTCATTCCTTTCAAGGTTTCATAAGTCAATTGGTGCAAGAAACACATCCTGATGACTGTGTTCGTTGTGGACACTGGGCAGCCAACTATATCATCAAGCAATCTGGAGTATGTCTTAACCATAAGCCTGACTTTCAGTAACTTTTTGATGGATCAATAGTATCATCTGGTATCAAATAAAATCTCTACGAAAAACATTAAAGTGTTGACTGTGTGGTTTAATTTTCGTTATCACACATCACCACTGTCCCACTCAATCCCTCCCCTCCCCCCACCCATCCCTACACAGATTAGTCTAACTTCATGCCCTCCAACGGCTTCCCCCCTTGACCAATTGTTGGCTAGCTCATGCTGTTTTGCAGATTTTTGGGGTGCGGCACTCAGCAATTTCATGTTTTCTTATAAAGTTTTCAAGTCTGAGCTCTGTGATCATTCTGAATTTTTTGTGGAAGCCCAGAAAAAACCTTGAGACAGATTGAGACTGTCACACCATTATTTCACCCCCTAGATTTATTTGCCTTTCACAGAAGTAAATTCAAAATATCTTTTTGTGTTGATTATTTTACTTGAAGAAAAAGCAAATAAACTCTTAAACACCCTAGCTACTGATAGCGTCAGGTGATCATGCATTGGAAATAACAAAAATAGCTCTATACAAACTACTGTCATGGTTCTTATGAAATTTATCAAAAAACTGTCATGCATAAACTGTTGGCATGCAATTCTGTCCACAATTCCGAAAAAAATGTTAAATTAATTATCATAACAATTTTTAGAAACTATTTTCACTATAAATAAGTATCCACGCTACGCCAATTACTGAACAAACATCAACTTTACATCTTTTATTCCATCTTAGTTACGACAAACACGCTTGGATTAAATATTGTAAAATGACAAAAGCTTCTTAGAAGAATTAAATCCACATTCCATTTAATTAATTTAGGTCCTTAATGCAGCTTTTTCATTGGCTGAATTTTCGCGTCAATTACGTTTTGTTTACGCGGGAAAATTGTGTTACGAAAGTTACCATAGCAACAATTTTACATCCGGGAGAGTGCGAAATTCTGAAGACGAAGAACACTAAGATGGCTGTTCGCTGAAGTAGAAAACTTTCTTGAATTTGGTGGTTTTTTTAACCGTTCAAAACGCTTGAAATTCTTGAAGTCTTGGATCTGGTGTTCCTTGGAGTCCTCCAAAGTACCATGTAAAACAAAGCGTGGTGTTTAGCAAAAAATAATGGGGTTTTTTGTCGTCGATCGACGTACCTTCGCGTTTGGATTTGCTGTGTTTTGCTTTCAGAAGTCGGTATTGAAGTACTAAACTGGCGCCGATATTCGGCGATTTTTAGGTCTTTCGATGGACCTATACATACATACCCTTACTGGTACTGCCTTTGAGTTAAGAGTAAGTCCTTTCGAAACAATCATGAGCATCAAAGCCAAAATTCAACGTTTAGAAGGTAAGACAATATCTAAAAATTAATCTTATTTTTGAGAATAATTTTTTTTTGAACGCTAAAGCTTAGACTTTTWAAAAAAATATTAAAATCAAATGTTTAGTATAAAATGTCTAGTTATATTTTGAAGTATTAATTATCTAAGTTTGAGTTGTAGGAATGACATAAACTTGATATATTTAATATTACGTTTTCTTTTTCTGTAGCTCACCTCACAAGTATATAAATACTAATGAATTATTCACTATGATTAGAAAAAACAAACACTTACATAACAAAGATTACCTAAAAAGTTTGTCTATAAAATCACACAATTAATACTTAGAATTTCTTAGTTAAGCTAAATTAATAATATCTGTTTACTTTTGAGCAACTTTGAATATCGCAAAATTAGTTGGATAGCAAGTTTTTTTAGAAGAATTTTGCCATCAAATTTTTAAGAAATTTTCTTCCTAATTTTGTATTTTCGTTCAATCTCTTTTCATTTTTCCCCTGTTAATATGGAGTGCATGTATGTGCATGTGATCGTTTGTTATACATAATAATATTCCTGTTGAGAGAGATCTCCTTTTGCTCATTTGCTATTTTCATTTTCCCATTTTTTCTATTCTCTTTCTTCTATTTTCTTCGCAGTACATCTTTCGTCAGTACGTCCTTCTTCACTTGCACCCAATAATTAGACTAAAAAATTCATATAAAAATTTTCAAACTAAGGCCCCATCCACACTATTTGAATCCAAATTTTTATTTATTTGGTTACATTTCGAAAATTTGTTTTTGGTGAAGAATTGTTCTGGATTCGCCCAGACTAGTGTGGACGGTAGGCCTAACCCAATAAATAAAAATTCAGATTCAAATTTATCCGGCATAGTGTGGATGGGGCCTAAGAAATTTAAAAATAAGCAATGAATTATAAGAATTTATATTTTTTTAAAGGCATTTTCTTGTACTTGTGTCGAAAATTGCTGAATTTGAAATAATAGACTTCACTAAAAGTTTGTAATGATAATAGGAAAATATGCACCAATTTTCTAACAAATAAAGAGATGAGAGAATGATTGATTGTTTGAAGATTGTATTGGAAGTCTTGGTTTTCGACGGCAAAGGCAGCTCTGTTAGAATCTCCAACCAGCGAAATAACAGAGAACTCTTAGAAAAGTGATTAAAAAATAGTCTAGAAACAACAATGACTTGTAATAATAAAATACACAATAATAACTTTATTTGTAGTAGATTTTTGTCTAAGATTTGATTTTCATTATAAACACCTGTGACCTCAAAAAAATTCTTTTTTTGCATAAATTATAATTTATTTTTATGAATTCTAATACTCCATCTTTTAGAAAATGTTTCTTTCCTATAAATACTAATGCTTTCAAAACAATTTTAAGACCAGTTTGAACATTACAGTTATTATTTACCAAGTTCTTCAATAATATTATGTATAAAATTAAATTTAATTATATTTAATGTCAATATTGTTTTGGTCTACTCTACATCCTAATGATTATATATACATATATTTTATATTTACTTTATAAATATGTAAGATTTAATTGTTCAGCTGCTAGTTATATTTTTCATAAATTACACTGTACCATTGTAGCAATTGGTCTTGATGACTAACATGTTGCTATATTTAATTAAGCTTATATAGGAAGCAAGTATATCTCAGTTGGTTAGAGATTCTAACAGAGCTGCCTTTGTAGCTATGAATCTATTATATGATCCCAACAATATTATTGTTTTGACTTGTGTCTAATCCGTGTAGCGTTAGCTGATTTGAGTATGCAAACCAAACAAAACAAAGCTTTAAAATATATTATTGATGTAGGAAGGGATAAAGCATTTATTGTTCATGTATTGGTTAAAAATCAATTATATTTATAACCTTACTAACACCAGGTTTGGTCTGTTGTGTTGGATGTTATGGATTATATTGAGAAATGTTAGACCTTTACATGGCTTGTACTGTAAGCTGGCCATTTTGATAAATAGAGGTTCAATTGGATCCTTTCAAACTAGGTCCCAGCCCTCCCCTCCACCCCCCACCATCCC